AAATGATAAAAATTAAATACATTACTAATAATGCATTTCTAAGATCTTCAAGGATGCAAGCATCCAAAGAAAGAAATGTACAGTACACAATCACAAGCACAATAGCAATAGATCTTGCTTTTATTTTCCATCACTGTCGATTTTTCCAAGAAAGTCATTAAATGTTCATTTCTCTGTGCTAACTCTGATGGAATCCCAATAGAGTTTGGACTAGACTATCCTGGAAAGCATACACACATTAAATTAAGCCTCCAGACAGTAAGTGTCATCTGTGTGAAACTTGCACGCAATTCTAAAAATGTTTTGAGACTGACAGGAATAATGCAGGCAGTTGCCAGGCTCGTTTGGAAGTGAAAACAATTGTACTCTAAAACATTAAACTTACAGCAGTGTGGTTATCTTCCTTGTTATTGTTTGTTACCACATCTAAAACACAGGGCTGAAATAAGAGCTACTCAGTTTCCTATGATTATACTATAATAAGCAATGCAGGGAGTGAACTGTGAGGTGGAGTTTTCATACAGTAGTTGTTGTCAGTCCTGATGTAAGGATCGATCTCTTTCTGCTGATTTACTAGCTAGCCCTTAAATAGCTAGCTCTTAAATATCGGTGGTAAGTGGTGCCTGTAAATGATCACCTTGCTTGTTTAAAGTTAATAATGCAGTCATGCCGTGGTATGTAAAATACTCTAGTATGGTTCATTATTATCAACAACTTTACCGTACAAACCTTAATTCTGTCTCCTCCACTCAATAATTAATCATTTGTTTCCGTAATTATACCTTTTTAATATAGCACCATCCATGGTACATTATCTAAAGGTCTTGTGCAATAAAACAGTCAAACAAAACCAAAAAATATGGAAATTAAAACAGTAAAAGAAACAGAATTAAAAGCTTTCAACACAGGATTTGAAAGTGCTGACTGACATGCAAAATCTGACATGAGTCTGGAGATCATTCCACACTGTAGGAGCACAACACAACAGTAAGTGTGGTTTCCTAGTATTTCGAGGCTTATATTGGGAACTAAAAGAAGAATAGAGTTCAAAGTTTGCACATGAGATGTATACTTTTAGGAAGTTAACAATCATGTTGTCAGGGGCCAATTCATTCAAACCCTTATATGTTAACAGTAGTATTTTGAGTTTTATTTTGAATTTCATTTGTGATTAAAAGCTCTTAATAGGTGACCATTTTTGATGATCAGACACAGGTGGGGTTAACTGTATCAGACACTCCCACAGTGAGTCATTGTTTCTCCTTCAGTTTAAGTTAAGTCAGCACTGAAAGTACATGGTGAAATAAATTTTGTGCCAGTTGTTTAAATTGTTGCAAAATATGCAGGCTACAAAACAAGAAACTGGTGTTTTTTGTAAATAGTGTATAACCATGCAAGTTTGGTAATATGCCTGCATAAGGTAGAGGTTAATGTCTAAAAAGCCCTTCTTAACCATATGTTAGGAGAATATACTAATGTTGATTTATTAAATTAATATTTCATACAGGTATTAACCAAGGAAGAAATCCTGTCTTGGGTTCAGGAAGGAAACAGTCCTCTCTGATCTTAATCCTAACTTCAGAACATTGCTAGTTTCTAGTTCCTTTAATCTATTTTCGGTTATATGCAAACTGTTTCAAATCGTACAAGTCATATTTTACGGCATATTTTTCTAAATATACTGTACAACTCCATTAGACTACTATAAGCTGTTCATGATATCATGTAATGATCTACATAGAAAAGCATATGGTGTCATTATCTTCTCGGAATGTAAACATCTTTCCACTTGGCTTAATTTCAAATGGAATAGCAAGATGGATTAAAATCCATGGGGTGTTTCACTTAATTTATATATTTGTTGCTCTCTTTTTTTCCCAGATGTGAACTCAAAAGATTTTCCTTCTTTTAGTAACTTGTGTAAAATAGACTTGTATCAAGTTAAACAGCGTTTGTGTTCTTGGCCTGGTAATACAGTCATAACCAGGCAGTAAGCTTAATAATGGAACAGAAATTAATATTTACATCGTAAATAGTGTTTCACAGTTTATACAAGTATTTACAGATCTGTGAGTTTCCAGAGCCATGCATTCTTATAAACAACACCAGAAATTCCCAAATTCCCATATTTCCCAAACAGAAACCTCTTAATAAAGTGCAGTTTTTATGTCCTAAAATACAAAGAAAATAATCAAAACTTAATCACTCTCTATAAAACAGATGCTAACAAAATGGGAAATTAGTTCTTTGTCCTAAATTGTACATCCCTAACCAGACACGTCTTTAAACTTGTGTATTCCATAATAAGGAAATCGGTGTTTCCAGTCTTTTAGCATGTGATTTCCACAATTAGGACATCAGTATGTCCATTAATAATACAGGAAGTTTTTTTCTTAAGCCTAGAGTGCACTACTCTTTCAATGCTGGACTGGTTCTGGTTTCTTAGTCTATTGAAGGAACAAAAACACCACATCGGATGTTCACCAAATACTGATGTTCAAAGATTCCTGTACTACCACTGTTGGCCATGTTGAACTGTCGTGAGGACCTAGGACAGCTACTGTATGCAAACTCTTCACAACACCCATTGTATCATCCATTTAGCAAGCATTTCTTGAGAAGTTTAAGCCGTCCGCTCACCACCAAACCATTATACAGTATGTATTTTTTTCTTATTGCACTTGACATGCTAGTGTTCAGTTTAAACTTGGTTCTGCAGTTGTATTTTTAACCTTGCTGAAGATTCAACAGTAAAAAAATCTCTTTGACTCTAGCTGATTTGTTCAGGGTACCTTCTGACCATTGTAGGTTGGTTCAATTTTGATTTTCATTTTTTTTAATTAAATAGTAGTTTAGTAACTTTGCCTTTAACGTGGTTTGCAGTATTATGCATAAAATCTGAATAGCTTTGATAATTAAACATGATGAGAATGATGAGCATGACAAACAGTTAGATTAGCTTAATTGAAAAACAAACCAATGAGACAATGCAGATTCTTTGAGTAATTTAAGATGATGTTTTCTAGGTGTTTTTGTCACGTCGATTTAATCTGTGCAGGTCACAGCTATTTTTCATAAATAACACTTCAGAAGTTTTCCTGTGTTCATGTAATTTCTAGAACTGTATTGATTGATCGTTACGTATTGTGAGCTGACTTGATGAAAATGTTTTTGGGAAAGGACAAAAATTACATCTTATGATTTATTTATGTGCAACAGCATTTTATACCATTGACGTCCTCAGGAAGCCAAATATATACGAAACACTTAACAGCATAAAGCTGATCTACAAAATGGAGTTTTATTTTTTGTTTTATTTGTGTATGAAAAAATCTGCATTCTTGTGAAAACAATGTATTTTATAATTGACCTTTTTCTTAACATTATTCTGAACAAAGAACAGTTTTCTTACTGTTTTGTTGTGTTTTTGAAATTGACATGCATCTTACATAACTGGAGTATAAAACCGAGACGCTTTGGGAATGCAGAATTAGAATTAACGTCTAATAGTAGGCTTACTCATTACCTCCTGAATGTGACTAAAAGCATGACAACACTGGGTTTAAAAAATGCTTATGGACCTGAATGTGGAAAGGTGACGTCTGCATGCATAAAACACTGTTTACAGCACAGTTTTGCTCCATTACTAGAAACATCTGCTACTGCATATTTGACTGATTTCTCATTCATTTACTTGAGGTGTACCATTGCTGAATGAGACACAGATGCAGGATTAATCAGAAAACGATAGTGACGTTGAAAAAGCTAATTGACCCGGGGACCTATTGTCATTTCTTGAAAGAAACTGCAGTATCATTTTCAACCTATCTAAATAGATTGTTCCACACCCCCACAGCGCTTTGTGTTGATCAATTCCTCATGTTCTTAACTTTCACTTAACTGCCATGCAGTTTCATTTCCTCTGGTTCATGTTGTACTATTCTGCAGAAGTACATGCCTCGGAGGAATTTGATTATTTGAATCTAGTCTCTAGATCCAATTCCTTTAGCCTCAATTCATATTTTGTTTGCCTTTTGTATTGCTTCCCCACATTGCCTGGAAGATGTCAGCATAAACACCTAAGTTATAGATTTTTAAGTAGCTTTTACAAGATCAGTGTTTTCTATTTTCTATTTTCATATTATATTTTACATTTTCATATTTTATTTTTTACTTTATTTGCATGTCTACAAAACATAACCTATGGTGTTTCATGTACTTGTCACTACAGTGACTGAATAGCACTGGACTGCACAAATGTGGTTTGCTTATCAAAATTGTTGATACTTTTCTTGATATTAGCAAAGAACTGTGTTTTTCAATTAATCACTTCCTGAATTTTATTTGGTAATGGTGGAATTAGTCTGTGGATAAACCAAATTAGAGTCACTGAGGTACATGAAACATTTTTGTTTGTCTGTTATTGTGAATGGTTGCAACATTGTTTTGATCACATTGTTAGACCTATGCTCCCAGTGGTCAAGATCCTGTACTGTGGGCAATCTTCCAGCACAGGGTAGATATGTACAGTCAATCTGATCCTGTTGTTGTTTAGGGACATTCCAATGGTTTACGTGCCAGTCTGCTATGTAAACATAATAAGCAGGTGTAGATCACCTACATGAAGATATTGATTTGAATATTGTGTCATCGCTGCAATGTGACTTAATTTTTTACAAGAAACCTCTTTGTATTCTATTGAATAATCTTAAGATTTCTTTGCTGATGTTTATACTGAAACTGGGTTTCCATGTCCGAATTGTTACTTTATGGTCTGTTTGCTATGATGGGCTTGTAATCTAAATAGGTGTCTCACAATTAATTCACTTGGTTGCAAGTGATTTGTTGGTGGACTTTAAGATTCAGTTGAAAAAGTCCAGGTTTTGACATCTGAAGAAGCCCCCACAGCCGAAACGTTATGTGTCTTTTCTTTTCCTTTCAGCCTGAAATAAACCTTTACCTGTTCTTTTATAAAATTCAGTCTCCGATTTTTGTCTCAGCTGCCACCGGTGATATGCCAACCTACCAGATCAGGACACCCACATCAAGTTTGCCACAGGGGGTTGTAATGGCAGCTTCCCCTGGCTCTCTGCAAGGCCCACAGCAGCTTGCTGAGGAGGCAACACGGAAGAGGGAACTCAGACTAATGAAAAACAGGTATGTGTATCAAAACCTTCCGATCGATGCCGGAGAATCTGGCAAGGCTCAGTTGTTTTTATTTTAATGTTAATCAGTACCAAAAGAATAGTCTTTTATAATGTTTTGCCTAATGTATAATGTTATAGAAAATGCACAATTGTCATATAAACATACAGTGTCACTATATTTTGTGTTTCTCATGACACGTGCGCACATTCAAGATTCAGAAAAGTTGTATTTGTATAAACAAATCATCACAATAGTCACATCGGTGCATGAAACTGATGAAGCTTTAAGAGAGCGAGGATGGTTTCTGCTGTCGCAATGCTTTCTGATTGCTTGCTATTAGCCATGCTTGTTATACATCCTTTGTTTACTTACCATGGCTTGGGCTGTTGAACTTCCCGGTCTCCTCTGATGCTTTTTTTGGTTGGCTGCTTCCTGTTTGCAATCATGTAAATCTGTGTTGGCTAGGTGTGGATGTATTGTTGCATGCAGTCTCCCATATGCCCTTGGATTCACCCTTTTTCTTGCTTTGCATCCAAGCATGCTTTAGTTTTTAGTACATATGGTTACTTACGACCGGGGCCTCTGACTTGGCTTTCTATTTCTTTTCTGATTTACAAATTGGTTTTATTTAATTGACTTGGATTGATTGATTCGACTTAAAACGATGCTCTCTTATGATGTTATTTCAGCTTCCAGTCTCTCCAAAGAGTTGTACGTGTTGTTGATCACTTGTCCTTGAGTTTTTTAGATGTCTTGACCCTTTGTGTTGTATGGCCAGCATTATGCCTTATGTGTCCAGCAGTTGACTTCTATAGCTTCTAAAGGTGGATGCTGTTTCGAAGTGGAGCGTGAAATCAAGCTGCCAAAGTGGCGTAATGTGTCGATGGCTTGCTTATTTTGCTTGTCGATGCTTTTCAATTCACTTTTTATGGAAGGTATTTGTTGTGTTGGTTCCAGGGAGGCTGCTCGGGAGTGCCGCAGGAAGAAGAAAGAATACGTCAAATGTCTTGAAAATCGTGTGGCTGTGCTAGAAAATCAAAACAAGACTCTCATTGAGGAACTTAAAGCTCTCAAAGACCTTTATTGCCATAAAACAGAATAACTACCGGCTTGGTTGTGGAACCAAAAGACTATAAAGGCATGAGAGGGTGTGGTTTTACAGACTGCTGTAAAGATTTGGGGGCAAAAAACACGTTTTTCATATTGTGCTCCATGTCTGCTTCTGGCTTATTATTTTTAAGAACTCTTGAGTTTTGTTTCAAAGTTTTGGAAAACAATCATTCATGTTTGCAATGAGAATAACGTACAGCACTTTTTCCCGCAGAGTTATTTAGCATGTGAATATCGCGTGTTGCCCCTGTCGTTTCTGCTCTTTGCAGGATGTCTGCTAGAGAATGTCGTCGTCGGAAGAAGGAATATATAAGCTGTCTGGAGAGTCGCCTTGCGATACTTGAAGTCCAGAACAAGAAGTTAACAGAAGATCTTCAAAACCTGAAAGACATCTACAATGGACAATCAAATTAAATGTGCCCTCAAGGAATACTAGTTGAAAACTTTTTTTTTTGTTAAGAGGTGCAAACAATTAGACCTGCTTATTTAGCTCTGTTACTCTTAACTCCATTATATTTTACATTCCTCAGTGTGATTTGTTAAGAGCGCCTGTAAAAATGTAATAGGAAATTCTGAGTATATTTGAAGTGTACAGTACAAAAATGCCCCCTGTCCCATTTCATTTGTATTTTAAATGTGTTTAAAGAAAACAAAAATCTTCATACTTTTATTATCAAAAAAGGGAGAAAAGTTATTTCTCACAAAGTTCCAAACTTCAACTTTTTTACCCAATACTTTTCCATTTTATTTGAAGCTGATAGATCTGTTGTATACCAACCATGCTGGCATACACGAATGCAATTTCTAGCAGCACAACATCTAAATGTGGAATGGATCCTGAGGATTGGCCTGCAGTAGATTAAAAAAATACTATCTTGTATAAGACCAAAATTTATATATGTACCTCTGAGAGGATTTTTCTATTAAAAAGTTAATAATTTAAGAAATAACTGGTAATTATTGTGAATCTAAAAGTTAATATAGTCCAGTGCTTATCTGTGTTTCTGCATGATTGTGAGCAAGTATACGTGTTTATTTTTGTTTTGCTTCCATTTCACATTGATGTTTCAGCAATGTAACACAGAAGCTATGTTTGTAAAAGGTGTCTGAATTATTGTGTTGAGAACCAAAAGAAAGGTTACTCTGACATCAGATAACAATATGTTCTGATGTTTTGGAACCCAATAATTCTCTGGTAAGTTAAACATTATCATAATGTAGTAGGTAAAGATTCACAGTGTTCTTTGCAATGCATTATAGTCTTGTGTATCACGCGTAACTCATATTGAGTGTGTTTTGGGGACTTTTTTTGGTAAAATACCAAGTAGTCTGGTCTAGCTTTTATATAAATCTGGTATGTCAAAATATGTTACTACACACAAAAAAGTATAATTTATTGAATAAGTGATTAAGGGTTCTTCCCACTCAGATTTTCAGATAAAAACAATTTTGAGCTGAAACTGCATGCGTGACAATCCTACATAGTCATGATCTGCTTCACACAGACCAGACCTGAATGCAAACATTCAACTGATTTATCCTGCTCTTATTATTGCCAAATTATTTAAAACAACCACTGGACTGTTTTTGTCAAACTTCATGAGAAAGCTTAGCAAAGTGAATTTGAAAAATATAGCTAGTGTTTATTAAAAACAAGATATGATTAGCATTCTAGATAACTGATATCTGAAAAAAACCCAAATTTCTCACTGATGATAAAATGCATGCAAATGTGGAACAATTGCATGTATTCTAAAATCAAGGTATTTAAGCAACAGATTTCTGTGTTATACACTTCACTATACAACATTGCTCACTATCACTATCTAATGTAATGTAATATCTGTTGTCACCATAAATTATAGTGAGAAGCCAGGAGTATTTTTGGATTTCAGAAGTATACTTCTGTGCTGATACCACCCTAAAGTCAGGACATTGACTTGGCCACTTAAAGATGTTCACTTTTTATATTTAAGACACTCCAGTATAACTTTGTTCTTGAGCTTTGGATCGTTGTACTACTGAAAGGTAAATATTTTGTCCCAGCCTTGGGTGTGAAGCAGGTTTCCCTCTAAGATTTGCCAGTACTTTGCTCCATCTATCTTCCCATCAGTCCTGCCAAGCTTAAGCCTGATCTACAGTATGGCTGGTGTTTCCCACTTCTTAACGATTGACTTCACCATGTTCAAAAAGTATTATGAGTTTAATATTTTATACCCGTCTCCAGATCTGTGCCTTTATGCGACTGTATTGTGAAAGCTCTTGGACTTTAGATTAATTTTTGATTGAAATTCACTACCTGAGAGACATTACAGAGGTAGGTGTTATTTATTCTGAAATTAAGTGAACTATTATTACACACAGGTGATTTTGTGCAGCTAAATTAATTTAGGTTGGTCACAGCAAAGGGCTTGAATACTTATCATGATGCAATCATGATTTTCATTTTTTCTTCATATTATGTTTAGTTCTTTTTTTGTATTTAGTGAGTAAGAATCGGTTGACTGCAAACACTAAAGTAACAAAATGTGAAAACTCCTTAGGGGTTTGAACACTTTTGCAAGGCACTGAATTGCTAATTGTGGTATGTATTGGTTAGTAATTATAGAAATTATATGTATATGAATGTATATGAGCACATTCAATCAGACTAGCCTTTTGATATTATGACTGTCAGCTGAAAAACAATTTATGTCACTTACTATCATAGGATACTGCAATAAATTACTTTAAACATCTACATTTTATTTTTTTATGACAAGATCATCTTTTAACTTCCCAATCAAATCATATTCATTTTAGTAATTTTATTAGGTCATCTTTAAAAAGAACGGCCTCTAAATTGCATTTCCTAAACAGATAATAATTTACTGTGCGTATCTAATTAAGAAGTTATATTAGGTAACTACCAGCTCATCCTCTTCCAAATAAATCATTTAAGTGCATGACTGTACAGGTTAGAATAGACTATGATCTGGCTGTTGGAAGTGTGTAAAGGTGCACTTATGTCTGAAAATTCATATGCTGTAGAATGATGAAAACGTGTGAAGATTAGTGAGAATGGAAAAAAAAGAGTGGGACCTACTGTAAAAAGGTAGTTGTGCTACTTGTGCCTGTTATCAGCATATTTGTTACGGTTCAGAAGAGTGCATTTTTGTTGGAGACTTAAATGTTTTTCTTTGGTGCCATGTTTTTTAGAAAACTTCAAATCCCATTGAAACTGTGGGGAGGGAATATCTTCCATTTCTCCAAGGGAAATCCTGATGATTTCCATGGATTAAACAATATGACACATATAATTGGACTCCACTACCAGTGTTGCTACTCTCTACTAGAGTATGTATTAACTGAATAAAACTAGTTGTATGTAAGGTAAATCTTTAGGGGGCTTTAGAAACTGGGGAGTCTTTGTTGGTATATTTTTCTATCCTCCAGGGAGCTACAAGTGAAGTTTAGAAGCTGTCAGGAGGGGCGGTCTTGTGTGAGCTGTGGTATATTTCATAACCTTGGAGATTTGACAGTTATGGGCTGTAGCCAAGGGGTTCCCAGCAACTCGCTCCCGATGAACTTGAGTCATTAGTTTGGCTCCAGTGTCGGAATTTTGAGTAATATATTTTGACACTTAGATTTATAAATACAGTGGTAGCAGTGCCATAAATACTGACAGGCAAATATAGAATGCTATAAAAAAACATTTTTACCTTGTATGCAGCTTTAAATCAAGTGCAATTTTCTGTTCATTTTCTTCCTTTTCTTTTTGTAATACATACTCATACATATCTACTAACATACACATACTTCATATACTGTATATACTGTATATGAACAGAAAATTATTGTATTTTTAGATCGTGTGATGCATTTAGCTATCGAAATTGTACAATTTAAAATAGATTAAAAGGCACTTTTCAAAAACATTTGTGCAGTTAATGTTTAATGTTCTTTATGAGCTCATAAATGTTCTCCCCATGGTTTTAAACAAATTCCTATGCCTAAATGTTCAGTATCAGTTTTTGTTTGCAAATGGATTCATTTTTTTGTGCATTTAACCTTGGGTCTTTTGCTCACAGCTTGAAATTCCACAGTGTTTATGTGGTTATATACCAGGCTATTTTGATTGATAATGGACTCACTGTAAAAGATGCATCTTTTTGAATTACCTTGAGAACAATGTATTATCCTCCAGTTCACATTTTACTATGCTTTCAAGTCTCAGGAGAAAATGGCAGTAAACAGAAAAACAAAATCTGCATTCAGGTTGATCTGTGTTTTACTTGTGTGTTTTAACATTGGAATTCTTAGTTGATGAATTAGTTGATGAACATTTGCATCAAGGTAGTTACAGTGAAAGAATGTAAATGCTTAAACGCTTAAAATAACTGTGATTTTATGTTTATCTGTAAAGGGTTAATCTCAGTTTTGGTTGACTTCCTTACTTGGGTCAGAAAACAAGCAGCACAACCCTAAGCACTGAAAGTTTTTGTTATGATCTTTTCAAATCATACTGCATCATCACCTCGAAAAATGTGATCCCTCAGGGCAGAGTATGGACTATTTTACATACTACAGAAACAGGCAAGCCTGGCTAGGTTCTCAAGAAAGTAAGTTAGAAATGCGCTGGATTGAAAATCTCTTGGAACACTTTATATTAAGCATTTGGTACACAAGGTATTTAATTTACCTGTTGTTTTTTTGTGCGTCTTCTCATATTTTCACCTCCTGTATGCACTGGAATTTGAAAACAAGGAGGAATGAATCTCAAAATAGTTTTGTTAAAATCGAAAAAAACGTCTTCATCATTGAGGAACCGGCAAGAAGCTGTGAGGGGGGAAAAAACTGCAAGAACCTAAAACTGGGAGCACAGATAGGAGAGAAGGTGTCCAAGCCCTGCACACTTGCAGAGAGAGAGTGAGCAGCTGCAGTGGAATTGAGAGTCAGAATTTGTTTAGCTAAGAGAAAGGAGAGGAAGGAGGTAGAGCCTATTGAGCTGACAGCTACTTGCTGTAAGTGTCAAGACGAAATAGAACAGAGGAGAATAAAGCATCATGGGCAGTGCTCAGTTATCAGTCACCCCGCAGTTCTGTCGAGTAAGAAGAAGGACAACTTGAGTATACAGGTTCCAGCAGGGAGTGTTGTGTACTGGTGGAAGGCAGCTGCAATCGGGAAAAAATGAATGGGGAGGGAATCCAGGGCAAGTGTTAAACTCAGGAAATAAGGTCCAAATCTGACAGAGGACTAAAAGAGCAGAATGGTGATGCAGGGATATATACTGCAGATGGCGAGGAGTTGCAGAGTGGCAAGGAGAAATTGGGAAGGAGGGCTGACTCCTTTAGATACAGACTTTGCAGTAAAAGCATCCTGGGACTGAGGAGGAAAAGGGTGAAGAAGAATTTACAGAAAATGATCTATTTTAAATTTTATAAACTAAAAAGACTAGAAAACAAATGTATAATAACAAGATATTTACAACTGGCAAATGGTGCAAGTATAGTGTTCTGCAAATATATGTGAACACCTTAAAAGCTTTTAATACACTGAGATTTGCACACAACAATGTGTATTGACCACAGAAATGTATTCTTGGGACTCACATGTATAGGGAGCATGAAATACTGTTGAAAATACCTGTGGCTGTTTCTGATGTGTATTTTTCTTCCATCGAACTCTCTCTGGATGGTAAAAAAAACGCCACAATCCCTTTATCTAACTGTTCAATTAGGCTTTCGAGACATTCTTGCCACTATCATCATTGGCCTTTGAGACTTGTTATGTGTACAACTTTTAGTCTTAAATGTATTGGAATCTACAAGGTGCTACTTTGGGGGGTTTAAAATGAAAATATAGATGACAGATATGGTTTTAATTAGGTTTCTGCTTGTTTTCTTGCTTTTCAGATTTTTGTTTGAATTTGTATATTCAATAAACAACTAATGTATGAACTACAGTATGTTTACTATCACATTAATCACAAATGACAGATGACACCAAACACCTCTAACCAGTAACAAAACATTGAACCATTTAAGAACAAACTTTCAGTAAACACTGCTTGTTATTTATTATAGTTTTCGAAGTTTGGAACACATTTACTTTCTCTTATTTTACTCAAGTCATTGAGAGCAATCAACAGTTTTGCTAAGTAAGCAATACCAGAATTTGATCAGTGATACTGACAATATCCATAACGTTTTTGTAACGTAGTCCTATGCCTTTGTTGATATTTTCTTTGCTTATTTTATGGTCAATTCTCAGAATTGTGAAGTTGTCTTAGAAAAGAATAAAACAAAAACTGCAACAAAGTCAGTTTAACATTTCACTTGCAGCATTGCAACATCTATTAATGACATCAGCGCCAAGTTTAAATGGAATTTTCCATTTCGCCATGGTGCGCCCTCCAGTGGCAACATTAGAGTATTTCGTGCGAACTTGCTTCTCCTGACTTGGTTTGGGTAGCACTTCCATCTGGTGGTTAATTATTGTACAGTTGCTGGACATGTTTTCACTGGACTTCCAAGAGTAATTTTGATTTAGGTAGAATTAAAAAATAGAGGAACACGACTTATTGTAACTTATTAGGCTCTAGTACCTGACGCTTAAAATAAATATTATTTTAAGGAATAATAATAATGATAATAATGTGGACATTCCATTCATGGCGCTTTACATTTAAGAACAAAAACCTCAAAAGTTTTTAGACTACAGTATGTTGACATCAAATACATTTTAATTTGGATTTACACACCAACATGCAGGAAAACTATATGTTGAAGGGAGAAGAAACGGTATCTGTGTGATCGTTTGCACAGACGTGAATGTAAGAGAACGAATTCCAGAACAAAGCACAACCTGTTATACAGTTTGTACATTGTTGGCTTGTCGTTTAAGGAGTAAAGAGTTGCCGTTTTTATTAAATTATTCGGTTGACACTTCTTAGCAGTGTATATACTTACTCAGTACAGCTGGGCATTTTATTAATGTAAGTTGAGCGAACTGCATCGCTCAAGGGTACAACAGCAGTTCCTCACCCACGGTTTGAACCCACACCTGTCCAGTGAGTGTTCTGGCTCCAAAGCCTTAATCACGCTTCTGCTCTGGTGTCGGGTTTTGACACATTCACACAATACCACTGAAACCCTGCATCTGGCACAGAGGAGTATGACAATTTATCACTTTCTACTATTTCAGAAGTGACATTAGATTTAAACTACCTGCAGGCATTTCCGTTTCAAAGCTTAATGCGCCACAGCTAACAAAATTCACTAAATTAGAATGAAAGCCAGGGGAAACGGGGACACCGCTGGGTCATGTCCGGATTGGGAAACACTGCCCGAGATAAATCAGCTGTCATCCACGTGTGCTGCCTCGCCGCTCAGCGGCTGCCGAGATTAGATCAAGGTCGCAAGCGGACTGGGAGCCACACAGCGGAGCTCAGCGGACAGCGGCGATCTCCTCTGAACCCTCCGCCCCCGGAGACCTTGACACTGGCTGGGTTTCAGAGGGTTGATGTCACTTTCACAGCATGCTTGGGGCTGCAGAGTCCTGTTACAAATCGTCTTGGGGACAAGTTTACTGCAACACGTGCTAAAAAGGTGACCAGCTATACTTTGCAGAAGACGAAAACGTTGACTGTTTTTGGAACATTTTTGTTTTGAAGCATTTAAAATGAATGCCACATCATTTCCAGCTGCTTGGCGTCAACAGCAGGGAATATAGACTTGATGAACTCACTATCTATACT